GGGGGGGGGGGGGGGGTTGATCGGGCTTGTCTGAAAAAAGGAGCAGTTCTCTCTTCACCTTCTTAATTGTCTTATCATAAACACACCAAACCGTACTTTGTGGATTTTCGTCTTTCACAGGGGATTCTGGTCCCCATGAACCGCGATAAGTGAGGGATCACTGTATTACCAAACTGCAAGATTATTTGATACTCAGTGCAGGGATGTGTGATCACAACAGTCAGGGGAGGCAAAGTCTTCTCCATGCCTTGCATTTTGGGGAGTACAAAACTAAAAATAAATAACTAGATCCGTAAAAACAAGAAAAAAAGGAAAGTTATATAATGCAAACATTATTGTTCTCTGGTCCATGTTTTACATTGAATTTCTTCTTCAATCCAATTCTGTCAATGGTTTCCTCTTTCAAATAGCTGAATTTGCATATTTCCTGTTCAAATACATGGGCGAGAAGTGAGGTACAGCTGGGAGACATTCCCTCTCGTGTGGATCAAGCAACATACATACACACAAATGAATTGACGCAGGCAGTTATTGGCGCCCGTCAAGAGACGTTGCTGTTTCTCTTTAAATCGCCAGTATCCATGTTTTATCACACATGCACTGTACATGCTGACGTCCAACAGTCTACCTCACATAACTATCACAAACATTTTGAACTCGGCAACCAATTACTTTGCAGACTCTTCACCTGACCAGGGTTGTGGAGCTGAGTACTGATGTTTTCGGATAACTTTGGAACATATCACCGCTGCCTGCTGACATTAGTGGAAAGAAAGGAAGAGAGTGACTCACATGTTTCGGAAACAGAGAGTCTTTATGTTTCATAACATCTCATGAATATCGCCCCACAATAGTTGTGTTCGTTGCTTTGCTTTGCTTTAAAGGTGAAATAAACAGACTCTCCTGTGCATCTTTGGTAGACGTGACAGCACACTTTTTGCATTGTCTGAAGCACAGAGCCAGTGATGTTACGCAGTGTGGGAAGCAACGCAGTCTGTAGATCTTTCTGCTCGTCCATGTCAAAACTGTTCATAAATCAAAAATAGTCCATACTGGAGGCAAGTTTTCCACGGAAATGTTGGGCATCATCAGAATTGTTCATTAAAAGGGGTGTTTGTAAACTGAGGTTCCACTACATTGTTTTACTCTAGTTTAACTTGTAATGTGCTTCTTTAGCTACTTACTGTACACTTCCCTCCAAAGGTGTGAGAAGAGTGGGGGCAATTCCTTTACGTTATGTTCCTGGTCGAGGGAAACCCAAACATAGTAGGGGTGTTCACACGGCACACATTTGCTCTGGCGCTGCACCGATGTATTTTGTTGCGATATATTTTACACCGGAGCAAATTTTGTGGAACGTTCACACGTACAAAGCCCCTGAGCGTATTAGCACCGGCGCAGTGTCAGTGCAGCTCCACTTGCGTTCACATGGCAGTTTCTGCAGCGGAGCAAAACGACTGAAAACCAATGAGCTGTTGTGTGGCTTCTTTTTAAAACATATACACAACTCAAGCAACTACTGTACATGCACGTCCTTCTCCTTCTCGGTCTCCGTGCCTTCTGCTCGAGAGTGACCGCCCCCGAAAACGTAAATCAACGATGACTTCAATGACGCTCAGAAAAGCAAAAATGTAATGTGCTAAACAGAAAAATCCAGAGAGGAAATCACATAATAAAACAAATAATTTCTATGGGGCATGGGGGGTTGTGAACACACAACAAAGGAACAAACTACACAAACAACTCCGAGACAGTCCAATCTCCTACAAAAGGAAAGATGACGTTTGGGGACAATCCCCCCGTTCTAGTTGAGATGGTATAACCCAAGAGGTGCTTGCTCCTGTTACCAGCCACGTCTTGTGTCTTGTTATGAAACAAATACGACGGAAGTCCGACAGAGCACGAAAGCAAGGCATTCTCGCCGTACGTAATCAACTCTTCTCATGCGTAGCGAGGCTACTCCCCCCTTGCAAACGAGCATTTGCTCTGGAGCAAATTTTTAAACCACCTCCCTGAGGTGGATCAAATTTGCTCCGGTGTAAGCTGTTTTCCGGGGCTACGCCGGAGCAAATTTGCACGTGTGAACGCTCTACTGGCGCAGCGCCGGCGTAGCACTGGAGCAAATCTTGCCGTGTGAACACCCCTATTGTGAATAAATCCTCCCCCCAGTCCTCCCTTTCCCAAGTAGGCCGGTTGTGCTTGAAAATTAGTTTTACAAAGTTTATTTTTTTATGCCAGAGGGAGAAATATTCCAACACTACAAACAAAACAAATATACGAACCCTGTATTCTGACTGTGAAATTAAAACAAATCAAAGACAAACACTTAACCTACCACCCAATTAATAAACATGAGAAAACTGGATTAAGAAAAGCCTGCAAAGAAATGGTGCTAGCAACGCTTGCAATTGCATGTAACAGACAGCATCTAGCCAGGTTGAGAGAGAGGTCGTCTGCCAACACTTGTTGGTTAAAAAAAGCATCCCTCCCTCCTCTGACCAATCCCACAGTGGCAATAAATCCAAACCAGCCAACCAGTTGGTCCCACTTGTTCTCATTCTGGACACACAAATACTCACATGCCCACAAACACATCTATCCATCCATCCATCCCAGCTGACTTCGGGCAGAATGCAGACAACACCCTGAACTGGTCGCAGATCGGTCGCAGGGCACATATAGAGATGAACAACTATTCACAAGCACCATCTTGGACACAAACACGCAAGCCATAGCCTCAGGTACCTTGTTCTCCCATACTTTGGTGATTCAAAAAGTTCAGCATCAGACAATTCCAATTCTTTTTCAAATGATACTGGAGTTTTTTTTTTCAAGTAGCCATGCTCCTGATATCAACCTTTTAAGTGTCAACATCGCAAACCCACACATTTTTTTCCGGCCAACAATAATAACAATTTTACTTGTTGTCATTAGCGTTGAGACTCGATAACTGGGAATCAAATGGAACCGGAAAAATCATTTTGGTTCTCCGGATTCATTCAGATTTTAAAGTTCATCCATCCATCCATCCATCCATCCATCCATCCATCCATCCATTTTCTAGTCCACTGATCCTCACAGGCTTTGCGGGCATGCCAGAGTCTCTCTGAGCTGTCTTCAGGGAGTAGATTCGCTCAGGCACGCAGTAAAAAAATGCATAAAAGACACAGAATTAATATTTTTAATAAGGTGTAATTCATTGTGTATCCGCAAGGGGACACTGTTTTGATCAGAGAAAAAGACAACAGCAGCCTCAGTCCGTCATTGAGACAGACCCATGACAGCAGACGCTATCAATAGCACTCTCACATTTACACATTTAATAGCACTCTCCTTAGTTTGTAAGGTGTAGGCAGGGATTACATTTAGATTTTATATGCACATGTAAATGGTTTAAAACTTCCTTTCTTTATAAATCTCGTTTAATCTTAAAGTGCATTACTATATTTTTCAATACCAATTACTTGTTAAAGTTTGTACAATCAGTGGGATCAGTTGCAATGCATATTTGTGAATGATAAAAGTAAATTGCACATTTGTCGAAGGAAATGTAAGGTGCTTCCTGAAATGTTTTGTAAAAGATATGTTCATTAAATTTCAACATTTTCCTCATGTTCTTGTGCTTATTTTGTATCAAAACAAAGGGAAGACAGATTGTTTTTGTTATTTATAGCAAAGTATGGTATCATTTTAATGGTCCGGCCCACTTGACATCTACCGAGGCCGTATTTGGCCCACCATGTGAAATGAGTTTGACACCCCTGATTTAGAGTCTTCCATTAATCTGCCACGCATGTTTTTGGAATGTGGGAGGAAACCGGAGTGCCCAGAGACAACACACACAGGCATGGGGAGAACATGCAAAATCCACACAGGAAGGCCGGAGCTGGAACCGAACCCTGCACCTCTGCACTGTGAGGCCAATGCCCGAACCTGTCAACCACTGGGCCGCCCAAATTTTAACATGTTGGTGCAAAATATCAATTCCTAGTTAGCCATGCGGAAGAAGCACGAACGGATGACCAGCAGAAAATGTATGCATGTGGTGGGACATTGGTTGACTGGTTAGCACATTTGCTGAAGAGGATTCATCCTGGAATAACTGACTTCCACACTCATCCATCTGTTGTTCAGTTGCACCTGCAAAGCTGAAAGCCTCAGCTACCACTAGCTTCCATTCTCGTTAGGTGCTGCTGCAGGCTGCATAGGTGGACTTTGAACCTACTGCCGGTGTTGTGGAGGGAGCTGAATTGTGGGGACTGCAGCTGCAATGAGCATTAACCTGCAGAGTAAATGTGAGAAGAGACTAAGAAACTTTGGTCATGAATGTATCAGGTGAAACAATAACAATACTCTCATATATCCAGTGTTTATACATCTACGCGATTGGAGATTGAGGAGTTTAATCAGAATAGCAAGGGGAAATTGGGGATAAAAAGAACACATAGAAAAGTAAGAACTTAATTTGGTAAGGGATAGATATAGGTAGCTAACGTCCGTCCTGAACTACCTTCTTCACCACGATGGAATAATATATGTATCACAGCAGACATTGTCCCGAGCCGCCTGTCGATCTCACATTCCATCCTACCCTCACTTGTGAACGAGACAGCAAGATAATTTAACTCCTCCACTTGGGGCAGGATTTCATCCCCAACCTGGAGAGGGAACTCCACTCTTTTCTGACTGCGGACCATGGTCTCGGTTTTCGATCTGATCCTAACCGCTTCACACTCAACTGAGAACCGCTCCAGTGAAAGGTGGAAATAGCGGCTTGAGGAAGCCATCAATACCACATCATCTGCAAAAAGCAGAGATGCAATACTGAGGCCACCAAAGTGGACCCCTTCCACCTCTTGGCTCGATCCATAAGGGTTATGAACAGAATCAATGACAAAGGGCCGCTTTGGCGATGTCTAATCTTCCCTACAAATTAATCTTATTGCCAGGAATGTGAACAAAACTCTGACATATTTGTTATAGGGACTAAACAGCCTGTATCAGGGGGTTCAATACCCCGTACTCCTAAAGCACCTCCCCAGAACTCTCCAAGGGACATGGTCAAACGCATTCTCGAAGTCCACAAAACACATGTAGACTGGTTGGGCAAACTCCCGTGCACCCTCTAATATCCAGCTGAGGGTGTGCAGCCGGTACACTATTCCACAGCCGGGACAATAACAGCACTGTTCCACCTGAAATTGAGACGCAAGTTCTCCATGGACCCTCCTCTTCAGCATCCGTGATTAAACCTTACCAGGGAGGCTGAAGAGTGAAATCCCTCTGTAGTTACAACACACGCTCCGGTCCCTCTTCTTAAAAAGAGCGACGGCCACCAGTCCGCCAATCCAGAGGCACCCTCAGACTCTGCTTGCTCTGAGGAAGGTATGTCCATGGAATTGAGGAGGTCATCAAAGTATTCTGCCAACGACTTAAAATGTCGCGAGTTGACGTCAGCCGCACCCCAACCCCACTACACACAGTGTAAATGGTGCACTGCTTCCCCTTGCTGACACTCAGGATGGTGGACCAGAACTTCGTCGAAACCGTCCAGAAGTTGGTTTCCATGGCCACGCTGAACTCCTCCCACAGCAAAGTTTTTGCCTTGGCGACTGCCGAAGCTGCGTTCCACTTGGCCAGCTGGTACCTTTCACCTGCCTCTGGAGTCTCACAGCCCAAGAAGGCTTGATAGACTCCTTCTTCAGTTTGACGGCATGTCTCCACCAGCAGGTTCAAGGTTGCTGCCACGGCTGGCACCGACCACCTTATATCCGCAACTCCGATCGGCCGCTTTAACAATAGAAATGCGGAATATGGTCCACTCGGGCTCAGTGACTCCTGTCCTCCTCGAGACGTAGGCAAAGTTCTGCCAGAGGTGTGAGTTGAAACAATCATTTGGATCTGCCAGGTTGGACCCGGATCTCCTCCCACCATCGGAGCCAACAAACCACTAGAGGGTGATCAGTTCACAGCTTTGCCCCTCTCTTTACCCAAGTTTCCAAAATCTGCAGCCACAAATCCAATGATATTACCAAAGAGTCAATTATCGAAATGTGGCCAAGAGTGTCCTGCTACTAAGTGCACATATGGACACCCTTATGAAAGTGTTGGTTATGGACAATCTGCAACGAGCACAGAAGTCCAACAACAGACACCATTCGGGTACTGATCGTGGGGGCCATTCCTCCCAACCACGCACTCCCAGGTCTCACTGTCATTGCCCATTCGAGCAATGAACTCGCCCAGCAGAACCAAGGAGTGAGGGTTAGGCGTGGGCACCTGCAGCGGCTCCTCTTGTTGTCTTGTTGTCTGGTTGACAGGGAAGAAATTTAATCTGTACTCTATGTTGCACATACAGCGCATTTGACAATAAAGTTGTACTTGACTTGACTTGAAGAGGGAGTGCTCTCCAGCACACCTTCCAAAGCAGGGGTGTCCAAACTCAATACTTAAGGGCTGCTGTCCTGCCTGTTTTCCAGATCTCGTGCCTGGAACACAACGAATTCAAATAAGGCAGGACAGCAGCCCTCGAGGACTGGAACTGGACATGCTGGCTCCAAGGATTCCAAATAGGGTGGATACTTTGCACTGCTGTTTTGGTGCATAGTCATAAACAACAGTCAGGACCCGTCCCCCTCACCCGAAAGCGGGGGGAGACTAACCTCTTGTTCACCACCGTGAACACCAATGTACAGACACTGATCCGGGGCCAAGGACTATGCCCACACGTGCTCTGCAACTCTCACTGTTGGTAAGTCCAGAGTGGAAGAGAGTCCAACCCTTCTTGAAGAACCAGAGCACAGGCTGTATGTATAGGCAAGTCCGACTAGTCAAGTTGGAACTTCTCTACATCGCACACCAACTAAGGCTCCTTCCCTGCCAGAGAGGTGACATTCATGTTTTTAGAGCTAGCCTCTGTAGCCAGGGATAGGAGTTTCAAGGTGGCTGCCGCCAGGCTCTTGAAGCAAACGACCCCTTTGGCCCCTCCCCATGGAAAGCGGCACCCATTTTGCCTCTTCCGGCTGATCCCAGCCAGGGTAAGCCCGGCCACCAGGGGCTTGTCAGTGAGTCCCACCTCCAGGCCACGCTCGAGAGAGAGGGGGGCGGGTGGGACTGCGTCCGTGCAAAAAAAAGCGCAGTCCATTTGTGTTTTTCATTATAAGACATTATATGAACCGTGCTTTGTCTGGTCCATCACCTGGTACCTGTTTGCAATGGGTGACCCTACCAGGGGCATATATCTCCAGACGCTGCTCGGGCCCTAAGAATAATAAGACCGATTTCTGAAAAAACAGCCGGGACCTCACAACTATAGCCGTAATCATGATAATTAAAAAGACAATCGCGATCACTGCTCTGACCCTAAATATCGCTACTATATATATTTGTATACAATTGACAGCCGCAGTTTGTGGGGGATAGGGACTGTTTTGACCTACAAATAGTGAAAATATGTGAATAATTGATGCATATTGAATTGCTCCAGTGGTTAGCGCATATAACGTCACAGTGCAGAGGTCGAGGGTATGAATTCGGCTCCCGCCTCCCTGTGTGGAGTTTGCATGTTCTCCGCGTGCCTGCGTGGGTTTTCTCCGGGTACTCCGGTTTCCTCCCGCATTCCAACAACATGCATGGCAGGTTAATGGAAAACTCTAAATTGTCCCAGGTGTGAGTGTGAGCGGGAATGCTTGTTCACCTCTGTGTGCCCTGCAATTGGCTGGCAACCAGTTCAGGGTGTCCGCCGCCTAATGCCTGAAGACAGCTGGGAAAGGCTCCAGCGAGCCTTGTGTGGATAAAGTGGTTCAGAAAATGGATAGATGGATAGATATTTATAGATAGATATGGATAGATGGATGGATGATGGGTGGATAGATGAATGGATGGATGCGTACAGGTGGGTGGATTGATTGATTGAGGTCATGTGAAACAATTGCTTAGTTCCATGAGGTAAGCTGTTCAGCTCATGAAGATAGCTAGCTAGCTAGGTCGATAGATGGATACTTTACTCAGCCCATGAGGGAAAATAGAATTGCTTGCTCATCAACAAGGTTGTTGTTATAATGTGTGAAATAAGAAGAGGACAAATTAATTTGATGAATAGAGATGGGCATTCCGTCCCTGGAACGGAACGGTCCATCTGTCCCGTGACGGAGGATGAGAGATTTCTTAAAAAAGACAGATTAAGCAAGGATGGCAGTCTCCCGCCTACTACCCAAAAACAGCTAAAGATAGGCTCCAGCATCCCTCCCATGACCATCGTGAGGATAAAGTGGATTAGAAAATGGATGGATGGATGGATGGATGTTGGAATTGTTATGATTTTGTTTAGATTGGATTTGGTTTTGTTCCCTTGTGCATTTTTTGTCTCCACCTGTTCTCGTCATCTGTGTCCCTTGTGTTTAGCCAATCAGCTCCCTCAACCCTTTGTGTCTTCTCCAGGTGCTTCTCGTTGTCTTGTCAGTTTGTGTCAGGGTTATCAATTAGACATTCATAATAAAGACCCAATGAGGAGATGAAACACTTGATTCTGGTACCAATCACTTGAGGGGGGAACGATGAGAAGCGTTAGGTTTCAGTTCTCTGCACGTCACCCAAAGATCTCCCCACTCGCCCTCTCATTTATTTCTCATTGGGAAGTACATACATTGGCGTGTACAACCTAAAGGGTGAGGGCTGTTGAAGACACACTGAACTTGTTTGACTATGTGTGTGTATGTGAGTGAAAATTACGTACGTGTGCAATCATTACAAAAACACCAAGTTGCAGCTGGTGTTGAAAGCTCAATCAACGTCCGACCTTGCTTTTGTTTTGTCTTAATACTTATGTCTTTACAACCACTTTCTCGGAAAGGTGGTTGCGTCCCTCAACTGTGACACAGTGTACTTAGAATTCTTTATTATAGCTGTGAGCATATCTTTATTAACCCATTTAATCCCAAATTTTCCCCAGACATTTAAAAGTCAAAATCAGATGTCATTGGTAGCCCTTTTAAGTAATCAGTAATAAAAATTTCTAGAGCCCTGTAAATTAAATCATTGTTGTCCTTCACAAATGTGACCAGTGGGATGAAATGGGTTAAAAGCATAATTATACATATTTTTTAAAAGCATAAACATTCTTCATTGCAAGCATAATCAATTTATCTTTGCAGGCATAAGCCTTCTTCATTGCAAGAATAATCAATTCATCATTAATAATATGCAAATATAAGATCACTAAAAACAATCAACCTAACAGTTTGCTTGTATATACTTCCCTGGGTTCTGTCTTTGTTGGATCATTGTGTGTTTGTGTGCCCCTGTCATGTTTTGTTACTGGCATAGTTTTTTGTTACTTTGGTTTCCTGTGGTTTTCAGGACTTTGTTTGTATACTTCAATTCGTTTTTTCCAGTGTACTCCTCTTTGTCTTTTTGTTAAATACATCTTGCTCAGTCCACCCGACTCCTCCTGCCTCCCTGCTTTATGGGGTCCTCCACCTACCATCTTGTAAAACGTGACAGAATGATCCAACCAAGACTGGACCCCGCAAGACCGGTGGCCTGGTCCCACTGCTGTTCCCGGCGGTGCAATTGTTGTGGCCGCCCTCCGTTCCTGTTTCCGGCGGTGCAAGTGTTGCACCCTCCCCACCCCTCTCCGCCTCGTTTCCGATGAGTCAAGCCAAGCCATTGAGTGACTTTGGGGCGTCTGAGATCCGTCCCTTGAGGGAGGGGTACTGTTATGTTTTTGTTTAGATTACATTTGGTTTTGTTCCCTCATGTGCCCTTTTTGTCTCCATCTGTTCTCGTTATCCATGTACTTTGTTTTTAACCAATCAGATCCCTCAACCCTTTGTGTCTTGTCCAGCTGATTATCGTTGTCTCGTCACTTTGCTTGTATTTAGTTCCCTGGGTTCTGTCAGCCTTTGTTGGCTCGTTGTGTGTGTCTGTGTGCCCCTGTCATGTTTTGTTTCTGGCATTGGTTTTTGTTACTTTGGTTTCCTGTGGTTTTCAGGACTTCGTTTGTAAATTTCAGTTTTTTCCAGTGTACTCCTCATTGTGATTTTGTTAAATACATCTTGCTCAGTCCACCTTACTCCTCCTGCCTCCCTGCTTTTTGGGGTCCTCCACCTACCACCTCGTAAAACGTAACAGGAATCCATGCCTAGTAAATGATCATTAGTCATTTTTGAAAGGTTCCATTGAGTGATCTGCCCTGAATTCAGATTGAAATAGTTCAAATAGATTGCTAGAGGCCGTGTGATCAGTTAGCTGTTCTGCTATAATTGTTTTCAAGAAAATTATAGGTAATGGGAGCTTTTCCAAAGGAGAGAAATGATTATTCTAGATTTATTTATTTATTTAAATTTAAGAAGGAATTTCCGAAGATTGCAAATAGCTCTCTGCGAGTGTCCTATGAAGAGGGTTGAGCAAGCACATTGTCTGTTTTGATGCACAAACAAGTGATGTGAGTCTTTTAATATAGGCTTTTGACATAGGCTATTCACATTTATATTTTGTTTCATTTTCTGTAACTACTTTTAAAATGTATTATTTCACATTGTATGTTTCTAGAAAATCTACAGCATGTACATGAATTTGTTTCCCTGTAACTTAATGTCTTTGTGTTCTACAGACCTGCTGGGATGGCAGTCATCTGTCTGGCTTTTGGACAGTACATTCTGGAACCTTTGTTTATGCCCTGTGATATTCCACCTACTGCTGTCAAACTGGCCACAGCCATTGGCCTCAGTATGTATTATTAGTTTTTCTTTTCAATTTTCCAGCACTAGCTGTGGTGTCTAATTATCTCAAATCTAAATGTTGTTTTTAAATGAGAAGTTGATCAGCATCACAGAAGAGTCTGTGGTCTGTAATTGCATCTTTCTCTCCCGTTTTCTGGTCATGAAAATGTGGCGCTGACAATCAATAGAAATTTCCAATTTATCTGTATATTCATATTTAATTTTGTCAGGAATATTGCAACAAGGCGGCCCGGTAGTCCAGTGGTTAGCACGTCGACTTCGCAGTGCAGAGGTACCGGGTTCAATTCCAGCTCCGGCCTCCCTGTGTGGAGTTTGCATGTTCTCCCCGGGCCTGCGTGGGTTTTCTCCAGGTACTCCGGTTTCCTCCCACATTCCAAAAACATGCATGGTAGGCTGATTGAACACTCTGAATTGTCCCTGGGTGTGAATGTGGGCGTGGATGGTTGTTCGTCTCTGTGTGCCCTGCGATTGGCTGGCAACCGATTCAGGGTGTACCCCGCCCACTGCCCGAAGACAGCTGGGATAGGCTCCAGCACCCCCCGCGACCCTAGTGAGGATCAAGCGGTTCGGAAAATGTATGTATGTATGTATGTTGCAACAAGATTGTAGGGACATCATTTGACATTGACATATGCATCTTTTATATCTATATATGATAAGATGACCTTTATTTGTCCCACTTTACATATATATATATAGGTACAAACTTTACCTATAAAAAAAAAAAAAAAAAAAAAACTCTCTTCTCACCACTCGGGTGTGGT